AAAGATCACAGAAAGTGATCAAAACCAATCATTTCTAAGCATATCAACCACTTCCATGGATGTAAATTAGACATTTTCAATACCAGATTATTTTCTTTTTTTTTTTTTTTTGGTTGCAGCCGTCATTGTTGTTTTTTGGTGGGTCCGGGCTGGGGATTCGAACCCGCCACCTTAGGTGTACGTGGCTGGCGCCTTAGCCAGTTGAGCTATAGGCGCCAAGCCTCAATACCAGATTATTAAATTAGATTCCCAAAGAATAAAACCAAGTCTAAAGCACTAAATAAGATTTTATTTTCTTTTGGATAAACTTAGGGTGAAATTTAACTTTATGATTAAAAAAATGAGAAAAGTATAAGTGTATGAACAGATGTTACATCATAACCAAGGCCAATGTCTCTTTGTTTAAGAAAATAAATTGTCATCAAGTATTCTCTATGAGGGGCAGTGCCTGTGGCTCAGTGAGTAGGGCGCTGGCCCCACATACCGAGGGTGGTTAGTTCAAACCTGGCCCTGGCCAAACCTCAACAAAAAATAGCCGGGCATTGTGGCAGGTGCCTGTAGTCCCAGCTACTCGGGAGGCTGAGACAGGAGAATCCTAAGCCCAGGAGTTGGAGGTTGCTGTGAGCTGTGACGTCATAGCACTCTATGGAGGGCAATAAAGTGAGACTCTTTGTCTCTAAAAAAAAAAAAAACATTCTCTAAGAGTCACTTATATTTTTGTTCAAGAAGATAAACTGCATTCAAATAATCTCTAAGAGTTACTTATATCTTAATTTAACATAATAAAAATGTGAACAGAGCCTTAAGGCAACTTAATCTACTTATACTTGTGCCTTAAGAAACTAATTTCAAACAATTATGATCAACACTTGAAACTTTTACTAGGCAGGCATTATAAGTACCTTAAAGCAACACAACTCACTTTGCTTGAAAATATATGATAATAGATGTACACTCGCCCCAGACAATTTTCCCCTGTCATCCTAATTAGAGAAGTCTTACCATACGCCTCTCCTCTTTTGTTACAACCACGAGAAACTTCGGCATTTAGGTATGCAATAATACTTGGAATACTGCCCAGGCTAAAAACACAAATTACTTAAGGCATATGTAAAACAAGCATTTTATGAAGAACACTTCGTTTCACTAAAGAGAGATAAGAAAAATTGAACTGATTTTCCATACAAACTCCCTGGGTGTTTTGCTGAATGTCTTGACAGTAAGCAAGTCTGTGAAAGACACTCTAGCGTCTATTCATCCATTGTTACCATGGCATACGCTTTAGAAATATTAATGTTCACAGATGAAAAAGAATCCATCCATATCAAGAACCTTGTTATCTAAATTTTCAGAAGACTGAGTGTGTTGATAAAAAACTAATTATACAACAAAACATTTTCTCAATTAAAATTTCTAAAAATCGAAATGATGGTTTTGTTTTTGAGCATTTTGACATGACAGTATTAGCACAAAATCAGCCAAAGTTTTGTGGAACTGGTTAGAATTACTATTTGGGAAAAGACAGGCATCAGTTTGTAAGACTTTGGTCCTTTTAATGAGTTTAATTGAAGGTAATCAACATCACTGCAAAAGCTGCTTCTCTGAATATTGATATATGATTTAGTACTTTGTTTTTAAGAGGATAATTAAGATGATGTGCTATTTAGTCAATCTAACAGTAAGAAGAAGATAAATAAAATTACTAAAATTGACTTAAAGCAATGGGGAAAAATTTAGTGTACTTAGCTTTCCTTGAGGAAATAATAGAGTCTATCGTGAGTTATTCTCCCCTATTTTATTTTATTTCTGTGTGTGTGTGTCTGTCTGTCTGTGTCTGTGTGTGTGCATGTGTAGGTACACATATAGCAAATATCTTTGTTTTCTTCCCTTTCTGATCATGTAGCAGGTATTGATTTTATAGCATCATATTTAAGTTTTGTTAATTTTACATCATAGTATTTAAGTTACAGGATATCAGTGAGATGAATGAACATCATGCAGGGATTCTGTATCTTCCGGGGGAAATGGTTAGTGCATTATCTGTTGTATAGGGTAGTTACATCATGGTAGGTGGAAATAGAATCTTCTCATCGTCTTTCCTTAGAGATTAAACCTGGTGTAAGGAGATGGATGTGTGTGCCAAGTTGACAAGGGGTAAACTTGCGATGGTTAATTTTATATGTCAGCTCTTCCAGGTCATGCCCTCACATAGTTGCTCAAACATTACTCGACTATAGATGTTTTTATGAAGATATTTTTCAGATGATATTAACATTTAAATAAATTGACTTTCAGTAAAGTTGCTTATCCTCCACCAATGTGGGCAGGACTCATCTGATCACTTGAGGCCTTAACAGTAAAATGATTGTGCTGTTCCCCCCAGGACAGAAGGGTTCCTGCCAGCAGGCAGCTTTGAGACTTGAACTGCAGCATCTCCCACCTGCTGGCCTTACCCTGGGGATGTTGTACTTGCCAGTTTCTATAATCATGTGAGTCAGTTGCTTAAGGTAAATCTCTCCCTCACTGTAGACAACTCACATTCTATTTGTTCTGTTTTTCTGGAGAAACCTAATACACAGCTCCATAGTGAACAGGCTGAGCTCGGAATCCAGATTGCCAGAGTACACATCCTGACTGTACTCTGAACGAGTCAGAGACCTGGGAAAATTACATAACCTCATTAAGCCTCACTTTTCTCATCTATAAAAGGAGAGGATAAATATTAGTCTTTACACAACAGAGTTGTTTTGAGGATTAATGAATATTATACATAAAATATATTTATAAAAGGCATACTCTATATATTAGGTGTTATTCTAAACATACAACAAATATTAGCTATGATTGTCAAGCTTCTAATATAGTTAGAAAATTTGCAGTTAGTCCTATAAAAAAGGGATGCCATGAGTAAATCTATTTGTTTAGAAAAAATGTATGAGGGTGTTTAGAAACCTACTTCTGTAAGAAATATTCTTACAGGTGAAGGAAAAATGAACTATGGGTTTCCAAAATACCAATACTTGTCATTTAAAAACAGAGGAAGTAAAATTTATACCTTGATTTATACAATAGCTATGCTTTTAAAAAGACGCCTACCAATTTATCTGAAAAAATCAAGGCGTATGAAGCCACTGATACAACCTCAAAAATGCCTTAAAGAAGGTTTCTAATGAGTAGTTCTTATCATGTCACCTCTATGTTGTATTCTATTCTGGGCCTCTGTCTATTTCTTCCAATTTTCTCATCCTTTCCACTCACTACCCACATACATCCTTGCTCTATAATTTCATCTCTTTTCCCTCCAATTCTCTGGTAAGTTTACATTTTCTGTACTTTTGTTTACTGACTTTTATTTGTACTAGAAGAAAGCCTAGGTAAATATTTTTATCCTTGAGACCTAGAGAAGAATTTTATACTATTAACATAAAAGTAGAAAACTACAAAGCAGCGGTTTTCAACCTGTGGGTCGCGACCCCTTTAGGGGTCGAAGGACCCTTTCACAAGGGTCGCCTAAGACCATCCTGCATATCAGATATTTACATCACAGTTCACGATAGTAGCAAAATTACAGTTATGAAGTAGCAACGAATATAATTTTACGGTCAGGGGTCACCACAACTTGAGAAACTGTATTAAAAGGTCAGGGCATTAGGAAGGTTTAGAACCACTGCTATAAAGGAAAAAAAATGATAGAAATTACTACTTAAAAATTCAATGCCTAATATATAAAGCCAAAAAGACTACAAAGAAAAGTTAAAGGGTGAATGATGAATGCAGAAAGAATATTTCTTCAATGTCTTCAAGTATTTAATAAAAATCATGATACTTATTATTTTGTAAGGTTTTAACATTTTGCAGTAAACATTCATACAGATTATGGCATTTCTATAAAGAAGGCAGAAAGCAGGCATTTTTGACGTTGATCCTAATGACATTTTGAGTCAGAAAGTTCTTTGTTTTTGTAGACTATGTTGTTGAGCCTTTACCTACTAGAAGGCAGTAGACTCCTTCACCCCCACCCTCTGTGGCAACCCAAACCGTCTCCATATATTGCCAAATGTGCACTGGGACAGAGAATGATCACCAGTTGACAACCACAGGCAGAAAGGAAGAGTATCTTCTTTTTTACAAATTGGAATTTCCCCCAATACACTTCTCCTTTTAATGATCTATAAACTTGACAATTACGGTACACAATCATGACTGTGGTAAAACTTTGGGTAAAACTCTAAACACCACCCATCACCAGCCAACTCTGAATTCTGTGTTGCTGACATTCTCGAACCTACTTTCTTCTCAGCTGATTCAGTCATTATTTCAGCCTTGCTTTTTCCCTCAAAAAGAAAATGGGCCAATATAAATCCCAAGTTAGAAATAAGCAGTAGGAAAATTAACCTGGGCATAAAATACATTTAAGCAATGCATGCCTCGATTTTTTTTCAAAGCAGTTTCTTAGTTGTGCAAGATTTCTAAACCCAGATACCACGTCCTATTAAGTAGGCACCCAATATGGCACCAAACTTTCTGATCTGCCTCTGTCACACACATATTAAACACTGAAAGTATCTTCTTCTTCCAGAAGTATCAGAGCAGGAAAACTAGTCATATATTAAAATTTAAGATTAGAGCTGAAGACACTTAGATCTGACCAAAAGTACTTCCAGTGATCTCGAGCTTCTGCTACAGTTGTGTGAGCTTGCAGTGATTTGCTAGTATACAGTCCTATTTAGAGCAACCCATACCATTTCTTTTCTTTTTTTATGTTATCATTTTCCCCATGTCTGAAAAAATATTAGATTCTCATATCAATATTCTAAACACAAGCACATCACATAATTAGTCAGCCACTGTACCTAACTAGTGCTTCACTTCTTTTCAAGCTTTCTCAAAGAAAGAAGGAAATATGGATTCCTCTATGTACTACAGTGCCATCTGCGTGCAGGCTGATAAGATGAAAAAGGAATATGTGAATGTCAGGGGATCAGAGTTACAAACCATACCTTCCATGACATACACCAGCGACCCCACGTCTCCTTCTTTGATGATGCAACTGTCTTTGCCATACTCCACCGGGTACATACAATCCACAATCTCCTGGATCTGGGACAGCTCCAAGTTCTTCATGAAGTCATTGTCGAGGATTGCTTCCTTTATAAGATCCTTGGACCTGTGACAAGAAAGGGGATATTTACTGGCAATCTGACAAGCTCTCTCAGAGTGTGTGGGGTTAGCAGAGCCGGGCAGTGCTCTGGCACACTACAAATGCATTTTCTTGTTAGGACTCCATAAATTTTCTAAAAAACCCGACAGCAAAGTATTTCCATAATGGCAGAAAAGGCATGAGAAATTTTCTTTCAAGTAACATATCATTTAATGAATAAGTGAAAATCAAACAAAATCATGTAAGTTCATTTTGTGTTAGGTTCTTTTAAAGATTGTGGAAAAACCAATAGACAAATATCGTATAGCTTATAATTTAGTTTCAGAATAAATAGAAACAAATCAAAAAATTAGAACCAACAATACTCGACTATGTTGCGTTTGTGCATTACAAAATAATTTCAGGTATGTATTGTACGTACAACACATAATTACAGGAAAAAAACATAATTTCTTTATTTTTTTCCTTTGTGCCTCTTCCTGTAGACTTTCTGCTCTACAAAGGCAGAGATCATTTTTAAATTGTTTTACACTACATGCCCAGTGTCCACCATGATGCCGGTCACGATATGAGTGCTTAAGAAATATTTTAGATAAAAATACGTAAGAATTGTAGCTGTTTGAAACAACTGGTAGAAATGTAACAGTTCTTCACGCACAGCTCATGCTTCTTTAGAGACTATTTCTTTCTTTACGCAGCTTAAATCGAGGTAACCAGGCAGATAAAACTCTATCTAATAAGATGTTTGAAATGCAAACATGATTTAGATGTAAGACTAAATACAGGTAGTCGGTAGAAAAGAAATAAAATTCTGTGACTGGGAATCACTGGTTAACAGGAAAGCGCTGCAGAATTTAAACGACTGGTGGTAATTTCAATCACTGGGATAAAAAGTTCCAAATGACTTTCTCAGGATGCAAAATTCGAAGTTGAAAACCCGCTAAGAAATATTTTAACAAGAGGACAACCAGAGTACCCTCATTGAAGTCAGAAACTGGATAAAATAAAAGCAAAGGAGACCTTAGAACCCAAGAGAGGAAAGAATACCTTTGGAATTTTATATTAAAAGCCTTAATTAAATATAAGTTAAACGCAAGCTGGCCACAACTGCTTGGCAAGAGGCTTTCAGAGGAATAAGGAGGCTGCAGCGTTAGCGCTCCTGAGCCCTCCTGAACCCTCCTGAGCCCTCCTGAGCCCTCCTGAACCCCCTTTTCATCTAGACTTCAGTGCAATTGTCCTGGTCTTCACACACTATGCTTTGTAATAATTTGGTTTAAAATAATAAAAAGATACAAATGAAAACAATTGAAAATTGTATTACTCTGAAGAATATTTGTAGAATGAACTGTTATGCTATAATTAAAATTATGTTTATGGCAATTTCTCATGTTTTGAATATTTTTTCATTCTTGAAATAAATGTGGCTGTCACCAATGCGTTGCCACTTGGTGCTAACGCAGAGCATTTGAACACTGCAAGATTACTTTGAATTAAAACATAGAAAACATTTTAAATTCGGGATTTCTGGAAGAAAAGACTCCATGTCACTTGTCTTAGTCATGCCATTTGACACAACTAACAAAAGACATGGGCTCCAGCTGGGGAACTGAGCTGACAGAGCCCACAGGCCATGAGGAGGCAATGTGGGGCAAGTTACTGATCTTTGCTATGCTCAGTTTTCTGATCGGCAAACAGGGTCAGAGTAGCTACCTGTTTCAAGTGAGTTACCGTGAGCAAGGAAGCTGCCACTACATCTGGCCCTTGGAAGTCTCAATCTATATCTTTATTATTGGGATTATGAACAGAAAAAAAAAATGCCTCAGTTAATGGCTCTGCACTTCACTGACTAAATAACGCCATTGGTCATCATTAATAAAGCTCTAGGACAAACTTCAAAAAAAATAAAATTATGTTTATGAAGCACATTAAGGGCATGGGAGAAATTCTTATATAATTTTTAAATGAAAAAGCAGGCTACAGAATTGGTTTGGGGGTAAGAACACACATATAATGAAATGTTAAAAAAATAGGCTTAGAAGTTATATATAGTCCACCTTTTTGCAAAATTTCATAGTGAATGTTTTGTAAATAAAAATCACATTTAGCTACCATTTTCCATTTTCCATTCATATGGCAACTTTTGGTACACCTTTAGATTTGAGTCACAAACTCAGTCTTATCATCTATATAACTTTGAGTAGCTTTCTTCTTCTTCTAAATTTCCATTTTCTCATATGCAAAATGCTATTTATAAAATATCAACTTAACAGATTTATATGTGAAGAATGGTGACTATAATGTTATTTTCAGTAAATAGTGGAAGAGAAAAGTGGCAGTAGTATTAACGGCAGTATCATCTTCACCACTCCTGACCTCAAGAACACCAGTGGCCACTTCATACTGATTCCCAAGATCAATTGTGTTGGGATAAGTACTTGAACTTATCTGATCTTCCAGAAATTAATTTTAGTCAAATTAGTATATTCCCGCTTTCCTAAAATTTCCTTTATTTTATTTGTGTCAGAGAATGAGGCCATCCAATAGGTTCAGTTTCTAACATCATAAAGACAGTATTTTTTTCTTTTTTGAGACAGTCCCACTCTGTCAGCCCAGGCTAGAGTGCCATGGCATTGTAGCTCATAGCAATCTCAAATTCCTGGCTCAAGTGATCCTCTTGCCTGAGCCTCTGGTACAGCAGGGACTACAGATCCCCTCCCCAATACCTGGCTAGATTTTTCTATTTTTTAGTACAGACAGGGTTTCTCTCTTGCTGAGGCTGGTTTCAAATTCCTGAGCTCAAGCAATCCACCCACCTCTGCCTCCAGAGTGCTAGGATGACAGGCGTGAGCCGCCGCACCTGGCCATTAAGACTGGATGTTATCAACCCAGTACCCCAACTTTAAAACACAGATGGTATGTTATCTTTTGCAAAATATGGATAGTGCTGCATTAAATATCTAAGTCTAGAAATGCAACAAGATTAAAAATAAAGCCCTCTTCCAGGAAAATAATTAGCTCTATCCAAAGATGATTGAATAAAATCACTTTCTCCCCTCTCATAAATAGGACTATTAACCTGTTTGATGAGACATCAGGAAAGATGAAACAATGAGCTCTCACACATCCCTTAAAATTATCCAATTTCTCCAGGCATTTATCACAGAGTATGGGGGGAGGATGGGATTTTTGGATGTTCTTCTTCCTCGAATTCCATTATGTAGAGGACTTCTAACTGCAGGTCTCTGAATAAACAAACTGATGGCTTTCCTATCTGCCCTCGTGTCACTTTAAAACAAAATGATAATTTCAGGACCTATGTCTTATTTATCCCTCATATAGGTGTTGTCAGATAACAATACTCATCTCTGAAACATCACAAATAATGTTTCTGCTCTACCAGCAGGAGAGAATTCTTGTACCTCTGTATAGTAGCACTTCAAGATGTTCTTGTCTGTGAGTGATACTCAAAGCCTTGACCCGTCATGTAATATTTCTTTAAATCCTTTCCCATTGAGAGCTGGGAACCTTAGGTCAACTCTCATTAGTATCTACTTGCTCCAACGTTATAGGCTGTAATTACTCAGGGATTCCAGTTAACTCTTATTTGAATCTTTTTCTATCCCTGAAGACATGGTCTAAGCCACTGACTATAACTAAGGCTCAATGCCACATAGAAGACCGGTTGAGCTGTGTTATTGACATGGTCACTGGAGAAAGCTGGCAGGTATATCAGAAGTACGAGAAGGTGGCTATCTGCCCTCACTCTGGGTACACATTTTAACAATAGCTTGCAAAAATTCAGCAGCCTGACCTGGGAGGTGTAAGAACCAAACATAAGGATCTTGATATTTTTTTAAATCCTTCCCATCTGTCTCTGTATACTAATAACCTATTTTTTTTTAAGTTTCCTTTTCTATACCCAACAATTTGTGATTTTTTTTTTAATCCAAATACCCATACAGATAACCTGGTTATTTTGAGCTAGCTCTATTGTTTTGTCATCGTTGAATGGTCAGCCTCTAAAATATTAGTGATTGTATATATAAAGATGTGGGCTTGGGTCCATAGCTCAGTGGTTAGAGCGCCAGCCACATACACTGGGGCTGGCAGGTTGAAACCTGGCCCAGGCCTGCTAAACAACAATGACAACTATAACAAAAAAATAGCCAGGTGCTGTGGTGAGCACCTGAAGTCCTAGCTACTTGGGAGGCTGAGGCAAGAGAATTGCTTAAGCCCAAGAGTTTGAGATTGCTATGAGCTGTGACACCACAGCACTCTACCGAGGGTAACATAGTGAGACTATCTCACAAAGAAAAAAAAAAAAGATGTGTGTTGGTAAACTGACTTTCTGGCAAGGGTGAGGGGACACAGTGGAAGCATTTGCCAATTTCCATGGGGTAAATAAATACTCTCACCATGGTCAATTTCAAGCTTTCATGCAAAGGCAACCTGCTTACAAAATTCCTTAAAACTTAACAAGCAGATTTTACACGAGCCAGTACAAACTGACTCCAGTACATTTCTGGAGATTTTTCTAACACCCTAGGAATTTAGTGTAACCTTATTCATACATTATAAACCAACATAATAATCCTTTCTTTCCTTTAAAATTCCATGAGGTTGTATAATATCCCCACATAACTGAATGCCAGGGTTAGAAACAGTTCTTCCTAACTCTCCACATTAAAAAAAAAAAAAAAAATGAATTGAAGGATGGGGTACAGTGGCTCATGCCTGGAATCCTAGCACTTTGGAAGTCCTCGGATTGCTTGAGTCCAAGAGTTCAAGGCTGCAGTGAGCCATGATGGCACCACTGTACTCCAGCCTAGGTAACAAAATAAGACCCTGTCACTGAAAAAAAATTGAAAAAGAATTGGAAAAGAATTGGAAAGTCCACCTTCCCGTTAACTTTTTGCAGATGATATTCCTGAATTAACTCAAAGAATATTTGACAAAAATGTCTTTCTACACAAGCTTAGGTAAAAATGGACAATTCAAGAGTGAGT